TTTTTTTTTGGAGGGGGGGGGAGGGGGGGAGGGGAGGGCGTTGGTGAGTTTGAAGGTGTTTTTTTAGAACTGCTATTAAATGGATAGAGAATGGGAGGTTTTTTTTTGTCGTCTTTTTGGCATAAAATGAAAGTATATGTTTTTATACGGTGAACAGAATGATTCATTGGGTGGAGAAGGATGGAAAGGAAAAAGGCAGGTGAACAATATGGTTTTTTTTTTGTTGTTGTTGTTTTAGACGTTTAAAATGTTTATGGACTTTTTGATGAAGTTGTTTTGCCTTTTTCTTTTTTTGTTGTCGTTTCTTGCTCTGATTTCCTTTCTTATATTTATATTCATTTATTTATTTTTTTAAAGTATTTCAAAAGTTTAGAATGGAATAGCCGTTGTTATTTGCAAAAAAGAAAAAAAAAAAAAAAGAAAAAGTGATGTTGGCGATATTTGACAGGCGATTGAAGAGCGACAATGATGATGATGATGGGGAATATGGGCTTTTTAGTGTGCTTCTGCAGTTGCCGTTTCCGCTGTTGTCGTTGTTGTTGCTGCTGCTGATGATGATGATGATGATGCTGATGCTGCCGCTGTCGCCGCCACCGCCACCGCTGCCTTTGTTTTGATTAGTTTATTTGGTTGACAGGTTTTTCGATGGCTTTATTGGTATTGTTATTGGATGTCCTTTAAATCAAAGCAGTTTAAAAAATGAAAACAGATTTTTGTGTTATAGGCATGAATCAGTGGAAATTTTGTAACAGAAAAGAAGAATTTTTTTTATTTTGTCATTTTCGTGTTTTTGCGGTAAACACATTGCAAAGATTTTGAAGTTATGCAGTTGATGCCAAATGTCCTGTAGATGTTTTTGGGCAATAGTGGTGGTTAAGAAATCTGGCAGATTTTGAGCAGAAGAGCTTAGTTGATGACTGAGCAAAATGATCGCCGCATGTTATTTACATTGTATTTTGTTGTCGATAAAACTTCTACGTAATAAATTTGTTCGTCGGCTGCGTAATTCTTAGAAAAAAAATGGGAAGTTTGCTTTTTTTTTTTTCTGAATTTTGTCGTTCAGCAAAGCGCCTGAAAAATTTCTTGTGATTTTATAATTTTCAGCATTTCAATTGGAACATTATTTATTATTGTTATTTTTTATCTGGTAGATTTATTGACCATTTCTTTTTAATTTCATTGTCATTGTTATTTGCTTTCTATAAGTGATTCATTATTGCTGGTAGTTTTTTTTAATTGTATTTTTCTAGCTTTTGTTTTTCACTTTTCGCTTGCCGTATTTTGCGTGTAACTGAATAATCGCTGAACATTAACGTATTCGTAACTTGGGAAGGGAATTCATTTGTTGTTCTTTTCTTGCTGACTTATTTTTTTTACCTTTCCCTTTTCGTCGGCTTCGTTTTCCTCGCTTATCTTGGTCATTACTAACTTACAAATAGTTTTTTCAGGGAATGAGTGAAAGGATACGAGAGGAAATGGTTGCTGCAGGTCTGTAATGTTATTACAGAGCAATTGCTTCAGAGGAATATTGTATATACAGTAAAAAAAAAGGCAAAAATCAAAAAAAAAAAAAAAAAATCAGGGGAAAATTTCGTCTAATAAAGGTGAAAAATTGGAACGGTCCAGGAAACCCTCTGATATCGTACGCCAGGTTAGTTTCTTCTTAATCATTAGTCGCCATGCCACCTACTTTCATGTATTTTATTGTTAGTTATTCGTACAGTTTTATACTGCATATAAATGAACTATGATACCATTTAGTCAGTGTCAACATGTGATGTTTTTCTGAGTTTGTTTCCTCTGGATGAAAGATTTTTTTTCTGCTTTGAATTGGGAAACAAGGAAGAGTGGCTAAGCTGAAGGTCAGTTCATGAGGTGCAATTAAAGTTTCTTTATACCTTTGGACCAAACTGACCCGCACTTTTTTAGAGAATCAAATGCTGAAGGAATTTTTTTTGTTGTTGTTTTGTTAGAACATGCATTCTAATTTCTTTTCAGTCCTCCACTTTTCTTTCGTTTTTGTTCGCTGTTTATTTTTTCGCTTCAAAACGATTTTTTAGTTTTATTGATCTAGTTGTTTTGTAAACTAGTGCACTTAATATGATCACTTGGTGCACGTAGCATGATCAACTGTTTCTTTAGCTTCTTGGGTATTAAAGTTGTAGTAAAAAATGGTTTTTTCTTTTCTGACTGTACATGGATATAAGCGGAGTGTGTTTATAAACACTTTCAGCAACGGCCTTAAGTTTTTTTTTTGATTTGTTACTTATTTTTGTTTTCTATTGCTTCCTTTTAGGGAACGTGTAGCCCCGCGTCAGGAGCTACATATTCAGAGCGTACGACGACTTCTGGAGGCACTTCTCGAATGGCAACAAGTGTTCAGCACGCTCCAGGTACAGCAACATTAACAGGTGCACATCGTTTACCAACAACGACAAACGGAGCACAGATGCCAACGAGTAGTACATCGCATCATGGAGCTCATCCTTCAAGGTTTTAAAAGTTCTTTGCTGTAATCTGTCGTTAGTTTATTGGTCAGTTGTTTAACTGAGATTGTTAAATCCATCAAGCAGTTTACTATTTCTGAATTAGTTCATCTTGCTGTCACGGTTTACGTTCAGTTCCAGTTCCCACCAGGGACCTCCTGGTTCTGGTCACAGCAGTCATAGATCTGGCATCTCATCGTCGAGGGTGCAAGGTCGATCAAGAGGTGCTGATGACCCTCATATAGGAAAATATAAACTGATCAAGACCATAGGGAAAGGCAATTTTGCCAAAGTTAGTTACGGTTTTAATTCGGATTGGTGTCATAGTTATTTTTTTTCCTCGTAGAACTCTCGAGAATTTCTTTTTTTATCTGTGTAACCGAGGTTTTAAGATAGTTTCATTTGCAGGTTAAGTTAGCCAAGCATGTCCCAACGGGTATTGAAGTTGCCATTAAGATTATCGATAAAACAGCACTCAATCCTACTAGTTTACATAAGGTTTTTTATTGTTTAGTATTAGCTTACTGCTTTCATTGGTATCTCTAAATCGAGGAAAATTATATGTTCAAAATATTTCTATTTTACAAATAATTAGTTTGTTCCTCTTTAATAATCTATTAGGCAATTGTTTTCTCTGTGAATAGCAATAAAATATTTTACAGCTTTTTCGTGAGGTGAAAATTATGAAGCAGCTCGATCATCCTAACATCGGTTTGCTATTATTTCATCTTCATTTTTATCATTTTTGCAAATTTTTCGTTTTTCAAACAGTTAATCTCAGTCTTTTTAGTAAAACTTTATCAAGTGATGGAGAATGATTCTACCTTGTACCTTGTGATGGAATATGCTAGCGGTGGTGAAGTGAGTTCACATTTTCAGTTTACACAGAATTCTTACATTCCAATCAGTCATTTTTTCCGGCAAACTTTGCATTCATAAGTACCGTAGGGTTTCTGATTCATTTTTCTTGAAAGACACTGCTCTTTCTGGTAATACCTTGCCATAGTCAAGAACATTTTTCTTTTTTGAGGTTTTTGATTATCTGGTTGCACATGGTAGGATGAAGGAAAAGGAAGCGCGAGCTAAATTCAGGCAAATTGTTTCTGCTGTGCAATATCTTCATCAGAAAAGCATTATTCATCGGGATTTGAAGGTTGGTTTAAATTTGTTCGTTGCGCAGTTTTTTGTGTATTGAGTAAATTATGGATACTTCAGTTTTTATTTCCAAAGCCCTGAGTTTTTATAAATTACTTTTGTTTCAGGCTGAGAATTTGTTACTAGATGCTGATATGAATATAAAAATTGCTGATTTTGGTTTCAGCAATCAGTTCGTTGCGGGTTGGTTTTTCAACTTTTTTTATTTCTGTGAAATCAAAGTTGATTTTTATAGGAAATGTTTTATACCTCTAGCGTTTTTAACTTATTTTTCTATTTTTACAAAATTTTTTGAAGGTAACAAACTGGATACGTTTTGTGGTAGCCCTCCTTACGCAGCTCCTGAACTTTTTCAAGGGAAAAAGTATGACGGTCCTGAAGTGGATGTTTGGAGTTTGGGTGTTATTTTGTATACCTTAGTATCCGGGAGTTTACCGTTTGATGGCCAGAACCTGAAGGTTTTACCAAATTTTTTCAGATATAAACTTATTTTTTAATTAACACTGTTGTTTTTTCTTGTTGCCTTATCTGTACTTAGTTATTTTTTCTAACGTTTAGGAATTGCGGGAGCGTGTGCTTCGTGGAAAATATAGAATCCCTTTTTATATGTCTACAGACTGTGAAAATTTGTTAAAAAAATTTTTGGTATTGAACCCAGCTCGGAGAGGTACTCTCGAAAGTATAATGAAGGATAGGTTGGTGCCATACTGCTGTCGTTCGTTATCTGTGCCTGATCAGTTGTACTTTTTCAGTTATATTGAAACCACTTATTCCTTTTTTCTTTAGTACAATTTGAGGACGGGAATTAAGTTTTTTCTAGAGCTGAGCACTATTTTAGGTGGATGAATATTGGTTACGAGGAGGAAGAGTTGAAACCTTTCGTGGAACCAAAACGTGATTTAAAGGACGAAAACAGGCTTGATAGGATGCAGCAAATGGGTTATAATAGAAACCATGTTATTGCAGCGGTAGAGAAGGGATCTTTTGATGATCTACATGCAATGTACATCTTGCTCGGTGAAAAGAAGCAAGAGGTGAGTAGCCATGAATTTTTTTTTGCAGGAGGAGGCGGTATTCAGTGGACGGAACGTAGAGTTTGAAATGATAGTTACTGCGCAGTTTGATGTAACGTTGATAGTTTTGTCTTATAGTGTGATTAGAGGTCATCAGATAGGTTTATTCCATTCTTTTGCTAAATGTAGGAGGGTTGAAGAGTTTTAGATGGATCACCAGGCAGTAGTGTTTATTTTATGAATTTTAAGGTCAGTAGAAACTGTTTCTGTTTGAACTTTGCAGTACGGGGCTTTTCGTCTGATCAATTGTTTTAATGAAGCGAAATTAGCATTTTTATCTAAAAATGAGTGCTGCTTGTTTCACCATATCGCTCTCCTGCGCTCATTCAGAACTTGGTGATCATCAGTCTTTCCGGTTAGCAATTCCCACACGTACTTTCTCAAGCAAATCGGGGAAACTGCTTGTTTTTATAGCAAAGTTTGGTACGATGAAATTCTTTCATGAAAGCTGGGAAGATTTGTTTATTTTTACAAGAAGTTTTTGGAGGTGTTTGTTGCTAATTAATAAATGAATTTCTTTTCTAAAAGTTTGTACCACACTGGTTGTTACGAGCTCGTAAGTAGCAGGACCGCTCTGTTTTTAACTCGGAGTAAAGCGAAGCTAACTTTAGTACATTTTTTGCAAAACACTTGCGACGTTTTAATAATATATTAGCATTATGGAATATTCTTCGGAGGTGTTGCAGCAAAACAGTGCCTCTTGCCCAGCTGTCAACGGCACATCTGCAACCCCTATATCGTCTCAAAACGTTGCATCTCCTACTCATTCAGCGGTCCCAAGTCAGTCTTCCCACAGTCAGGCTCCACAGTCGGTGAGCAAAGTATAATGCCTGCATGTCGTGGTTTACGCGTCACTGCGCTCATTTTTAGTACCTATAAAAATAGGCCGCTTTCTGCTTGTTCTTCGTTATGTTATTTTATACTTTATTTTTGCAAGCCACTTGTTTGATCATGCAGTATTCCATCATTCACTGGGTTGTTTGTGTTTTCTCCCTCTCAGTTCTAGTAGCTAAATACTATGGATCCGCCAGTGATTTTTATCGAAGAGCAATTTTTTTTTTCGCAAACTTGATGTGAATTGTGGATATGCACATTTTTATTTGTGTTATCAGTCACACTCCTGCCATTTTAGTGTGATTTTTGGATGCAGGAATCCATATATATA